ATGATTGGTCAGACTTACTAATAAACTGAGCTGATGAGTAGTGGGACAGAGGCAGCGCCTAAAGCGCCTAAAGGCACTGGATAGAATGTAAACAAAACTGGTTATTGGAAAGGGTTGTCACGATAACTTCCACTCCACACTGCCCACAGTGTGAGTTTCTGCATGTAGGTGAGCATTTCTGTGATTTGGTGTAGGTGGATTTATCCTTACACAGTTGAGTTTAGTTGATTCAAATCACGTTAGGTTTAAAACTGCTGCCCATAGGCTGCAATATTAATATCAGTGTTTTTGTTTCATTTTCCAGTTACAGATAATGCTTTGAGTGACTTGAAGGTTTATTCTGTAGCAACATATTGTAGGTAAAACCAGAAAATATCCCTTAAATAAATTCCCACTTTTTGGTGTGAGAAAGACTGCATGTCTGCATGTGTGAATTAACATTTGCGTGCAGACATGCAAGCTGTCCCGTATTTGTCAGTATCCATCCAGCCTGCATCAGTGCATTCAAGTGTGTGTGTGAGTGTGTGGGTGCATGTGCGTGTGGGGAGTTCTGGGTCACAATGGCAGCTGGGGGAACACTGCCCGGGTGCTAAAGTTTGATTGGTTGTCACATGCTCATGCTTCTCTCAGTATTGGCTGGAAAATTTACTACTATTTCCATAGTAACAGGACTGTAAACAACAACAAGAGAGGCATGCCTGATTGTTTTACAACTTGTTTATGTGTGTGTTTGTTATTCTTCTGAACATTATTATTTATGGTCTTGTATCCATCGATCTGTTAGGTAAAAACAAAATGTTTGCAAACCCTCATCCACATTGGCAAACCTTCCCAGTGCTCCCAGTAACAGATGGGGGTTGGAAAAAGGCAAAAAAAAAATCACTTGAGGGGATGGAGGAAGCAAAAAAAAAAAAAAAACAGAAAAAACAAAGCCATTATCTAAGATAACAACATGGCAACACACGACACTGAAAGAGAGGGCCTCTGTTACAATGAAGACTTATTGCTCTATTTCAAATCTAGCAGAAAATCACACAGATAGCTTTAATAGTTTTCACACTGATTGTATTTTCAGTTCAGGGCATAGAAAATGCTTTTTATCTGGTGAACAGTTTACAGACAAGAACATGTCTAATCAGTGTTCCAGTACATAAAGAAAAATCTACAGTAATAGATAAAGCTACAGTAACAACCAAAACCTCAAACGGTTAAGCATTTGCTTGCATTTAAAGCCCCAGATTCAATATGTTGTAGAAGCCTCATTGTAATTACAGGGCAGATATTGCTCTACTCTCTTTGCACATTAACAAAAAAAAAAATAAATTAAATGAAATTAAATTCAAGCCTAGACTTTGAGCGTGCCATAGAAACACACCAATGGGCTCTAAACGTCATGCTAAAAGTGTAACCCTGACTGTATGCTGAAGGTTATAGACTTGCTGGAGGGTGAATCTCTGCCCCAGCCACAACAGTCTTTAAAAATATCTTACCGGCTTCCAGCAAAGAAGCCTCTATAGGTTTTCCAGAATCACTTTCTATTAAGCACCATCCATTTACTATCAATTCTAACCAGCCTGCCTGATCCTGCTGAAGAAAATCATCCCCACAGCAGAAAGCTGCAACCACCACAGTTCAAGGTGGCAATGATGTGTTTGGTCACCAATCATGGACTCATCTGACTGGAGCTCCTTGTTTTTCATGTCTGCTACTGTATGTTTCTTTAAATGGCTAACAACAAACAGAAAGAAGGATTTATTTATTTTTTTAAGCCAAAAAGCCTTTTTTTTGCTGCTCTTCCAGAAAGACCACATCATTAACAGTATAAAAAAAGGTCTTCCCTCCTGAGCTGTCAATCTTTGCTGCTCCTCCAGTTTTACTATGTGGTTCTTGCTAGATTACCTAATTAATGTTTTCCTTGCCCGACATGTCAGTTCAAGTGAAAAGCTGGATTTAGGGTATCAGAGCTCAGAGGACTCAATAAAAACAATGTAGGTCAAACCTTGCAAGCTTTCCTCTCACCATTTAGCTGTATTTGTACATGAAACTTTGTAGCAAATAACTAAAGTCCAAAAACAACTTCGGAGAGACAAGAGCTATTGACAAAGTCTGTTTCTTGAAAGCAAATTATTTCTTCAACAAACATGCACAGTGGACCAAAACACAGCAACATATTTTATATTTAGATGCTTCACCCTAAGGCTGGACAATATTTGCGACTGGCATACAGTACATCTCCAACAAAATTCACCCACACAACCAGACGTTCGGCTGCACCTTCCAGGAAAACAAGATCCTGTTAGCAGCCCGGCAACAGCTTGAATGTTCCAAATGGCTCCATCGTCGGTGCCAGAGAGGGTCGGACACAAACACAAAGCTAGCTGAAGTCTACAGTTAGAAATAAATTAACGGTGACCCTGCAAACATCATGTTATCTCCAAGTGTTGGGGTAAGCTAAAAATAAGGGAACAATTCAAATGGATACCATACTTTCAATCAAGCAGCAGTTCGGCAAGATAGATTAGTTCTAAATGTTGTCAAACTCATATAGAAAATGAGCCATATTCTGTCCTGCATAAGTTTGTTGTCTACTGCAATAAAGCCTTATAGTCAAAACTATAAAAACAGGAATTAAATATGCCTAGAAGAGCAATTTTGATTGAACAGCACAGAAACAAACTTGTCTTAGTTTTTTTCCCTCGGGTACCAGTGTTTGGATATTGACACCAGGCTTGTTTTTGAAGTTCATCAGGTGGTCATACAAAGCAACAACGGCATGCACATACACACACATAGAAACGCACACTCTGGGAATCCCAAAAGGCTGATGCCAACAAGTGAGAAACACCAACAACCACACGTGTTGTGTTAGTAACCTCAGCCCTCTGTGTGTGTGTTTGTGTGTCTCAGGGGAACAGGAGCTCAGGACTCAATTAGGCCGGCATGAGTGGAATGCTTTCAGAGGGAACGGGACAAGATGGCTATGAGGTCGCCAATGTGCGCCTCTGTGTCTCACTTGCCCTTCATCTCAATTGGTCTCGCTTCGGCTGACCCATGGCGGCGTGAAGGGGAGCCATGTCAGACACGCACATTTATATACACACACAGAGTGTCATGAAGTGAAGAAACGACCTGCCTGGACAGGCTGGAGGACCCTCAGGGGTCCTCTGCTGTGTCTCCTGACATGTTCTCTCCGACTTCATTTACACCGGGGAGATAAAAGAAGCCTGATCACCAAATGAAGCGTGTTTAGTCGTCTTGTTACTTCTAATAAAAGCCTCTTTAAAGGTGCACTCTATTGATTAAAGTACCAATGAGTAAGACGTTCACCGTAAAACCAAAATAATTAACCCAAATAATTATCATTTCTTATCCAGGATCAGTCCTCCCCAGCAACGTTGGTCAAATTCTGACCTTTTTAACTTAGAAATGCAGTACAGAACTACTTGAGTTTACCTAGTGGTTCCTGAGCCAATCATATTAGAGTTTCCAGGGTCGCCATAACAGGTGGCAGCCTTTGGTGTTTTATGTTAGCAAAAGAGCAGCATGTCGCTACCCGATCTGTTCCATCAGCTCATTTGGCCATATGCAGGAAGATATTCATCCAGGTCGCCATAAATAATGTAATTATGGAACTAAAATAGATTATTTCCATCCTTAAATCACAAAAAATACTAAAACACTAACATTGCTCAAAAATATTTTAAGACTTTCCAGAGACAGTTTGATGTTTTTTACATTTTCTAAATTAAACTGCTCGTCTAATATCATCATCAGACATGCTCAGAGGAGTCCGGCAAAATATAGATAAAACAAGTATATCTGCATTTTAGTTGTTTCATTCTTCAAATTAGACTCTATATAACATAATGTTAACACAAATGAAAAACATAAAACTCAAAAAAGACTACATTTATGTTTAAATTCAAAGCCGAAAAAGTTAACTCCTGGAAGTAGCGTAGGAGCCCATTTCCAGTATAGATTGGGCACAGACAAGTGATAAAACAGAAAGGATTTCAAGGCATTTATTTACTCTGGAAATACATTATTAACCTTTAATACATTATAGTTTAGTACACTTACTATTTTTAAGGACAGAAAAACTTAGACTTAGACTTGTATTTAGACTCAGCTTTATTTATCCCTTGGGATTACTCCTTCAGAGAAATTCTGGTTCCAGTAGCTTATACAGAGTGCATTAAAAGGCATTAAAGATCAAAAAATACAACGGACAATATAAAAGCGTGTATATAGTACAAAAAAAGCATAAAAAAAGTTGTAATGTCCTGAAAAATGTTTCCTTTAGATATAAAAATATCTGCACATCAGAGAGCTAAGGAAAGACTACACAGTAGTTGACTTGGGTTATTGCACTTGTACTGCAGAGATGTACTGACATTATTACACAAGCTACACAGTAGCTGGAATGTGTTATTGCACAGTGAGAAAGCAGAATATTGTGTAATGTGTAAATGTGTGACAATAGGTACTTTTTTACATCTTTTTCAAGATGTCAGTAATTTAGGAATTTTTTACAAAGTAAACTCAAAAGCGACCTGGATGTATATCTGGCAGCGAATGCGCAAATGAGCTGATGTTAGGGATCCAGGACGGATCGGGTAGTGACACAACAGCTAGCAAAAATGGAAGCTGGGGTGAGAAGTGAAGCAGAAATTGTATCATGTACTGGTCTCACTTGAGAGGGAAGGAATGCTACGTGTGTAGCATATTTTACTGATTTCAAACGCTATGTGTCATTATTACTTATTGTTCTTTTAATTTACAATTAATGTTTTTTTATTTCTACCCACTCTTTTTAACTAAAGGTCCAATCTTTGATTTGCTTTTGGGGCAAGTCGTGCCCACTTTTCCTTTTTGCACGGAAATAAAACTCTTGCTTTTTATTTAATCCAAGATTTTAAAAAAATAAAAATGCTATGAAATATTCTTATAAACAATCAGAGCATGTTTTTTTAGAAGGTAGGATTGTTTCTCCCAAAAAAGATAGAACGCAGTCATTTACCAGTTTTGTAGATTTCGTAGCGCAGTGAAAAGCCCGCCCCCTGCTGGGCGTAGTCTGACACAAACTTGATGTGAAGAGATGGACCAGACGATATGATTGGAGCCGGGGCAATGTTGCTGCAGTGCTTTCCCAGCAGGTCGCCTGCTTCCGAGTTCCCATCATGGATCTCTACATAGTCATATCTGAAAAAGACAAACAAGTCTCGTTATGAATGTGATCTCTTGTTTTGCAAAATTAGCTAACATTGATGTAGACCCCACACATCCTGGTTGTAAGTTGTATTAATGTTTATCTAAGAACAAAAAAAGAAATAAATAAGCCAATACAGAAAAATGTTCTTCCCAAAGGAGGGCTCTCTGATGAACTCAATACACGGCCAACTTAGTCTGCTGCTCTGCTGGAAGCAAATACTGTTTTTGCACTTTAACAACCTGCCTTCTGTCTTCTTAAAAAACTAAAATCCCACACTTGTGCTGCTTCTTGTCCTTTTTTTAGCGCAGGAAAAAAACATTTTTACATGCTGTCATCTGTTGTTTGAACTGTTGAATGAGATGTGAGACAGGGTTTATACAGAAATGATTAACTCTAATTTAATGATTTTTAATGCTCTTTTAATGCTCTTAGAAATAATTAATGCCATCAACAAATACCCATGACTCTCATATATATACACGGCAAATTCCTTCATCTTTTTCATCGGCAGGCTGCAATTCCTTAATTTCCAGCCACTTTTGTTAAAATTAGCCTTTTCCCCATTCTCTAGCCTTTTCCCTGCAGCGAGCTTCTTTTCCGAACATTCCGGATCAACCGGAAGCAGTTCCGCGCAAATATATCATGATATATTTGCAAATATATATATTGTTTAATAAATTGATTTTATAAACTTTTTTTTTCTAAATAAAGCATTTTAAATGCCGAAATCATTGCATTTAATGAATTTTAATGCCAAATCAGGCCTTAATTAAAAAAAATATTATTTAATGACTTTTAATGATTTTAATGATCCGCGGAAACTCTGTGAGAGATGGAAAATCTAACAACCTCGGTATGTCCTGAACAAGCAGGCTGAGGTTGTCCATTAACAGTAGGTGATTCCTGGATGGATGGATGGATGGATGGATGGATGGATGGATGGATGGATGGATGGATGGATGGATGGATGGATGGATGGATGGATGGATGGAAATAATTGCAGATTAAAATCAAAATATAAATTCTCATTGTTTTACCATTCGGTCGTAGATCAATGTCCGCTTAATCTATTGTTGGAAAGAAATACTGAGCATTACAAAAGTGGACTGAAAAAAAAACTTGAAAGACACCTCACACTAAATATAAGCAGACAGGATGCTGGGAATTGTTTTCTACCATAAAAGGACGTCACTGGCAAGAAATCTATTTCTATTCCTGTTTCTTTCATGTTTTCTGACAACAAATGTTAAGGTCTATCTGTGGACTCACAGCAGGAGCGCTGCCTCTGCGTCTGGATACCAAAGGCACACCTGCCTGTCTCTAAAATAGCTTCCTGGGAATAAATTCCTGGAGGGCGTTATAAAGGAAGGTTTTAACATTTGATTTAAACTAAAATCTTCTTCACAATTAGGAATTTTCTTTAACTACTGTAAAGCAAAACACTTTAGGGTGAACTTTACCTGTATGCTCGTTTACAGCATAACAATTACGTCTGACCACATCAGAGCTGAATAATTTATGCTGCGCAGATCTTTATATATTTCTCTGAAACTTGTGCAGCATTGAGTTTCTGTATAGTTTAACAGTTATTTCTGACTTTATTGCTGTTAAAAATAACACCCACCAGCAACTCTGGTCATTAAACTGACTTATAACACGAAGGTATCATGTACCTCTGGATAATAAAAGTTAAGCTCATGGTAAGCTGCTCCCACACAGCACACATATTAAAAATACATGCATATGAAAAGGGTGTTAATCTTTTCACTATTTGTTAGCTGGCATTTGTTGCAGCTTTTCTTTTTTAAAATATAGTTAGCAAACCTGGAACCTAAAAGCAAACAGGAGTTATGGCACTGGAGGATAGACTTTAAAATGAAAACCTTAGCTGTACAAAATATAACATTATCATTTAAGATTAAAAGAAAAAAATGTGTGCATATTAAAATTAACATGCAACAACTATAAGATTCTTTTCATCCAGGGTAAATTTCAGCCTGCTTTATTTTACAACATTGTTTCAACCATTAAGGTTTGCAGATATTTGATCCTGCAAACCTTTCTTTGGGTCCATTGAGGCTGAGAGTTTTGAGGCTTGTTTCTGATTTTCAACAAGTCAACAACGAGCATCTACAGTATCTAGCCATAAATCTTTTTTTTTTCTTTATGCAACGTCATGTCGAAGTGATGATGCCATGTTTTTTTAGAGACATGAGCCGTTCCTCCGGCGGCATTCCTAAAAGCCATTCTTGTTTTCATATGAGAAGAAGTGAATGTTTATAGTGTGATGGAAATTTTAGACTACATGGTGAGAATCACAAAAATCTAACACTAAGTTCATAATGTTTAGGTGCTAAGAGTGTGAAACTGTCCCATATGGTCATATTTCTGATCACCAGATGATCAACATTTTCTTCTATTTTCTCTTTCTTTTCCATTAGAATCAGTGAAGGTTGTGTTGTTGGTAAAGTGTTTTTATTATGTTTCAATTAAAGTACAGAGTAACATGGTAAAAACTGTTCTGGATTTGTACGTTAAATTTCTGTCTAATGTCCTGCCAAAAAAAAAAAACCTTAAGACTAAAAGCTTGAGAACTTTCTTTGAAAAGTTTGGACTCCTTTAAATATGACTCAATCTATGCATTGTTTTTCTTAATTGGAAACCCAAATAACATTTTTTAATTACCCCATGTGTCATTTTACAAATACATAACAGACATTCTATGTGAACATAAACTTAACAGATCCCTGCATGTAAAAAAAATTCAAATGCAAAGAAGAATTATGTTTGTGTTTGATCTGACAGGTGAGCCTCCTCCTAACATGCTGAGGGTCACTCACCTCCTTCTCTCCCATCATGCTCTGTGCATAAACCCCCCCTTCTTCAGATTTATGTTGCAAACTGTCACTTTACATGCATGCTTGTCTTCTGCAAGCACGTGTGGGTGAGTCTCATATGTTTCTTAAAACAATGATTCATTATCCAGACAGTTCTCCACACCTCTTTTGTGTAATGGCAACTCATTCTCTTAATACTCCTCTATGTGTTGCTTTGCCCTTCTGTTCTTGCTTTAAACTTAATGAATGTTAAGCAGTTTAGAGATTATAGTATCAACTTTGTCTAAAAACAAGAAAGCAAAGAAGACAATATCAGATTGATCTGAGAGGACACCGAAGTGCACCTAAGCTGCCTTCTCCACGCCTCAGACTAGCATGGACAGGTGTCCTCCATTCCTTCTGCTGCATGCTTTTAAAATTAAACAAAGCCACCAACTCTTAAGCCTTGCATTCATGCAGCATGTTTATGTTGATGAAAACAAATCTAGCGGTTTAACACAGTTCTGGTCAGAGGGGTTTGAGGTTTCCAATCCATACAAGAGTGGGAGTTACACGGCTTCTAACAAACTGTTTAATCCCATCGTCTCGTCTCTCTTTTCCCCCTAAATATATTCCACTGTAGCTGTTCCAAGATGTTCTTAGACTCGCCAAAGGGAACAACAAGACCTCCAAATCAGATTCTCCCACACATGTTTTTAAGTCATTTTTATGTTGAGTAAATGGAAGGGGAATAAATTCTTGATACTAAATAGACTTTAACAGTGGACCTGAGTAAGTGTCACGGTAACATAAGGAATGTAATGAGTGAGGAAGCTCTGATAAGGCTGTCAGATAAATATCCTACCCTACAGCTTTCTTATTTATATTTCTTTTCAGACTTTTTTATGGACCAAAGTTGTCATCGTGTCTTTATGTGAGAAACATTGTGATGATGGAGGGGGAAAAAACAAAGGACCAATAACATAATGACCACACCTTCCAATAGCACCATTTCAAAATGAGTAAAAAAACCTCAATAAAATATACTTTTTATAAACAATCATTGAGTGTTTGTAAATTAAACAACTCAATCTCTGTCTCATTTGATTAAAGCCCACAATAAGTCTTAAATCCCTGTTGTACTTAGCAAACTTTACACATTTATGCTTGTCATAGGCCAGAAGAACGCTTTTCTCCTGGGCATCTCCTAAACATACAGATGGTTGCTATAGAAACTTGAAGCCATTTATAAGATTAAGTCTTGGAGAATTTTTATTTTTTTTTACCTTTCTTATAACACTGTGTACCATAGCAAATTGCACATTGGCAAACTGTCCAAAGAAATAGGCAAAAAAATGAAGTCTAATGAACAGACTGACATGGATGACTAATTAAATGGTAACAGGAACTGACATCAGTTTACATAAATGTCAAGTAAATTACTAAAGACAAAAAAGGCTAAATTTAAATTGATTTTAAATATGTTTATCTCAAGCAATTTTATGTCAAGAAAAACAACATTTGTTCTAATATGTCTCTTTTTTTTCTTTTTTTTTTTTACCTAAACTTCCACAGTAATATTCATTACTGCTAAATAAAGATATTTTTTAAAAGTTTTATATACATCTTTTCTTGGTGCGATTCCAAATGTCTGCATTTAAAAATGTCAAAATCAGATAAAAATGACAGTTGTTAATAATAGTTTTGATACAAACTGCAGGTGCTGGAATTTTATATTGGGTAAATCGTTTCATACATATCACTTCTGCTTTAGTCATGTGTCAGTGTAAAATTTAGCCATAAGGAGTATTTTTAGATCTTTCTTAGAGAAGCAAAACGCACTGTTGGCTCTCTGTCAAACAAAGGAAGAAATCATAAATCTGCCAGTTTCCTCCAACCCCTCTGACCGTTAACAGATGCTTCTTGCAAAAGCATCAATGCCTGTAAGCAAAAGCAAACTGTAATTTTGCAGTCGTTCCTCTTCTTCTACACTTCACTTATGCCTGCTTGTTTTTTAAACAGGGATCCAATCAAACAGAAAAGAAATCAGGAGATTTGAAAGCTTTGTTCAGGCAACAGGCCCATTATTTTCAGATTGATTTTACAAAAATGAGAAGAAAAAAAAAAACATACTGTCTTTTTTGTCTAATGAGATCCAAGCCTGTTTTTGCACA